TATCTACGTTGTATCGGTCTTGCCTCTATATTTATATTTCATATTCGTTATTTTGGGCCGATCAGGTCATCGCTGATCCAACGTACAAGAGTAGGAGTATCGTCCACGGTTGCCTGCTGAACATTTCACAGTTTCTTTCTCGGCCCTCGAGTAAACAAGTCATTCTTGATCCCTAATTAAAGGATTAAAGCGAAATCATCTTGCTATTTAATCAATGCTTTATTGACCAAGCTTGTTCCTTTTTTCCGTTTTTGTGGACCACGACTTCGTCTCAATCCTTTAAAACGCAAAAAAAAATAAAAACTCGGCCATTACCCAGCCATCTCCACCTCACGGTTGGTCCTTTGACAAAGCGTAGCCGGACTCACCCTCCCTTCCCATAAAACTTTCTTACGAGTCTTACTTTAAGCCCCAGTTCCTCTCTAATCGTATATCTAAGATGGCGTACCGACATGTGGTTAGACATCCAAGGTTGCAAGCTCGAATTTTTCTTTGTAATTGGTACATGAAAGTAGTTAGACCGGGAAGGGAGCTCCCTGAAAATACGGTCCAATTCCATGTTCCTATGGAGTAAGTAAAGATTTTAAATATCGTAACATCATTTCATTGCAAGCGAAGCAGATAAAAGTAGGATAATATAAACTCGTGGGATGATGTCGAAACTCGAAAAGGAACTTTTCCTCGCCTGTAAATTAATTTATCGTTACTTTAGATGAAATTTATCAGTGGTTGTTTGTTGGAATAGTGGAATAGTTGGATTAACGAGTTTGAATGATAGAGAGATGAATGCTTTATAAATGTTTTGGACACAAACAAGAGGTAAAATTTGGCCTCAACTGCTTCTTCGCGGTGGTGCTGGCCTGAAACTTTGCATTAAACGTCTGTCACTTGCCAGCAGTTTTGTGTCAAGATGTCAAGATTTTTAGATGCAGAAGTCACATCATACAAGTGCTTAGTCTGTCTCAGAGTTTGCAGCTGTTTTAAAGGTCCCATGTGAGCACGAGTGTGGCAGAGAAACTTCTTTCGTCTTAGCATGAAACGTTTCTTAGGGCCACACAACAGATGTCTGGAATACATTCCTGCAAATTTGGCAAATAATTGAAATCACAGACTTTGAGGAATTTTATCTAGACCTTATAAAGTATATTTTCACTTCCAAGGTATTTGAGAACTGTTTTGCTTAGATTTCAGTGTCAGTTGAAATAATAGATTTTGTTTTGTCACAAATGTTGAAAAACACTGTGTAATTGACTTAAGTCAAGCAGCCGATCAATTATAGCTGTTTTCTCTGTTTCAATTTTCACAATTTCAATGAAACTTACATTATAAATACAGGCTGAATTTTTAACATTTTGGGAGTACAGTCGAACCTCGATTATCCGGACCACTGGGAACTGGCCCGAATAGTCCGGATAATCGAGAGTCCGGATAATCGAAAATATGAATATTAATGAGTCAACGCTGAATACATTTGTAAACCGTAACATTTAATCGAGAATCATGCAAGAATGAACCACAATCACAAGCCATTTCTGACTACAAATTACTACTGTGCAAGTTAGGCGTGCTTAAGATCACTGGGGCAATAACCTTGCCCAAAATTGTCTTTTGAAGCGAAACAAATTCAGTTCTGACTGGAATTTTATAACTCAGTTCGGCGTATGATAGCTTTCCTACCGATAATAAATGTGACTAATTAATACTCATGAAAAAAGGGGACCAGAAAAGCTAGTCCGGATAATCGAGAAATCCGGATAATCAAGGTCCAGATGATCAAGGTTTAGCTGTACTTCCGTCATTTTAGTTCCAAAGCCTCTTCATTCACAAATAGTGGTTATCATACTGTCTTCAAGAGCTTATTTAAAAAAAATAGGATCAATGGCATGTTTTTAACTTTCTCAAAAAGGTTTTAAAAACATTGTAAAAGTTCATAATTTCAAATAATAAACACATCATGCTTGCACCAAATGAGGACATGTTTTTTTGGTCACATACCCACATTTAAATGTAAACAAAAGATTCCAGTGATTTTGTACTGTACCTCAGACCCTTTTTAAAATCAATTACCTACTTTTTCTTTTTACTTGCAGCATGTCAAAGTTGGATATTAAAAACTACCTCACCAGCATTTACAAACTTGATGTTGCGAGGGTGAACACCAGAATACAGCATGGTGGGATGAAATGTTTTCTACATGTATATGTTATTTGTTCTGTATGTTATTTTCATGTCATTTTTACTCATCCTGTTAAACTTTCATACCCAAAAAAAAACAAACAGTCATTTCTACAATTGTGTGAAGGTGTTAAAAATTGGTAGTTGTTGCAGTTGATGATCAGCTCTGTCTTTTTATGAAGCACAAGGATTGTGTTGAACTTTAACTGTCTGGGAATAGAAAAGAGGGCTCTAGTCAAGTGCAAATAACTTGGATACCAAGCTCCCCAACCTCTTAGCCATACTGTCCCCTAAAAATGTAAATACACTCAAACTTGTAGTTAACACCACACAGTGATCAGATGTCAAAGCGCAGGAAAATTCTATGCTCAATTATTATTAGTTTTGAGTCTATTAAGCAACAACATCTTTTAGTGTATTTAGCTGTCACCATCATATGTTAAAATGACAAGCATAGCTTCATGTACCTAGCTACTGTGTAAACTGTTTGAATGGTCATGTGGCATATGGAGATAACTAATATCTTACTAGACAGGATGAATATTTTGATAAAATGGTGCTTGAGTGCAGGGCTCAAGACTAACGGTAGTCCACTAGCCACAGACTAAGAGTCCAAGTCATGTCCCTTGAAAGATCATAAATGGCAACAACCAAGTCTGTGTAAAGTTTCATAAAAATTCTAAACACACATGTGAATTTCTTTGAATATCTTGGGGACCAACTTGTGGTTCTATTCTGCATAGTCAAAACTTCGTATCTAACATAGACGGGCACAAAAATCAGGGAATAAAGGAATTTTCTTTTTAATTACAGCTTTATTTTGTAATGCAACCCATTTTGTACAAGACTAATACAACTAAATATACATTGACATTGAGGAAAGAGTTACAGCATACATACAATAAATTAAACCAGATACATACATTTTGGAAACAAAAAGAGAACAAGGGAAAAAAAAAAGATAAAATAAATAAAAGTAAAATAGCAACATAACAAAAACAAAACATTCCAGTGCAGTTCTGAGTACAAAATTACAGTGTTGTTATGTAAGATAGAAATGATTAGAGTGGAGGAATATTGACAATGGGTTAAGGTTGATTTGACTAAAAAGCTGACTAAAACTTGGTTGTGTCATTTGTGAATATTCGTTTTTCTGGCTTTGTGACCTAGCAATCATTTATGACTTTAAAGAAAAAAAAAGGTGGTGGTTGAATACCTGGCACCATGTTTCTCCCTTAGGCTGCATGGTTTCCCCTGTTCCCTTGTTCTTTCAACTGCTGGACTACCTTGCTATACTTACACCTGAATTTTTAATATTGTTTTGTGTGTGTGTGTGTGTGTGTGTTTTTTTTTTTTTTTTTCAGGAAAGACAAAGTCACTTCTCATAAATCGGAAGATTACAAAGAGAAAGTATCCAGATTATAAAGTAGCATATGTAGTTCTGGTAGGTAGACATTCTATCAGTAATTTATGGATACAAATCATGATTATTGTGGGGGAAATCTTTGGTGTTACTTACTTATACAACAGACTGGACAATCTGTGTTCAAGACTGAGGCACTGGGTTCCTGTGGGTAAGGTGTTCTTTTCTCGCAATGCCTCTCTCCATTACAAAACTTGCAAGAGAAGCCATATGTACCATAAAAATGTCATGGTGACTCAAAAACGATATGAAAGAGGAATGGTTTACTGCAGTGAATTCCCAGGGAGCTGTCATGCAGTTGGAGGTGGAGGGGTTGACTTGATAGTCATTGTTCTGTACACTGTATGGGACATATTGGAAAGAGCTCCAGCTTGGGTTTGGGGCTTAAAGAAGACAAGCTCCTCTGAAGCTGGGGTACAATGTGTGAGGAGCAACTTTCAGAAACACCAATGAAAAGTTAGGAGAGTATGAAAGAATGAAATTACTGTATGTTTTACTATATTTACTACCTTCCCCTCTCTCCCCTCCCCTTGCCACTCTTTGACATGGCGGTTTTTTAGGAATAGTATCTTTATTACTGACTGAGAGTGGAATTTTTTTTTAACTTTGCTCTTGAAAAGCTATATGTGTAACCCAGGGCTGTACATCCTTTGTTTACACTTTGTATCTACTATGGGTCACAACGAGGGGTATCTGCTGAAGCTGTCTCTTATTGTCTCGTTTTTCCCCAGGCTTCAGAAACATTTAAGTTTCCTGATTTATTTCCAAAATATACTCCAAAGGACGAGCAGACTGATCAGAAACAGGCAGAACCCACGCCAGAAGATACCCCGCATCTTCGTTGGTTTTAATAAAAGGAGACATTGAATGTCTCTAAAACTCAATGACAATTGAAGAAGGAGGGTCAAACTTTTTAAACATCTGCCCTAATGGGAAGAAACCGTTCATAGCCAACTGAAGATCAACACCTTGGTCGCGTCATAATATTAAAGAATGTTATTGAACGTGTTTTTCAGCTTCTATAGCTAACATAACATAACATAACGTCAACTTTCTTTCAACACGATAAGTGTTTAAAGCTTCGCGCTTATGGGGTTCGTACATTTAAACTAGTCCTAAAACTAATATCTATTACTAACTTACATACAAAATAAAAGTAAGATTACTAATAGTTAATAATTATAAAAAATTGTGCAATATATGTGATATAATCTGCATAAGATATCATTAAAAATAAAAATAGTCTTGATCACAAAAATTAACTGTTGAGGCAGATGTTACCTTAAAATGAAAATCTTTAAAGTCAACGATCTTACTTAATCTTGAATCTATGCACTTTCGTGTAGCATGAACAATGTCTGTATTCCTAGATGTAATTGTATTCCAAAGAACAGCCCCTCTATAAGTTACTGAACGTTCTAAATAGCGAGATTGAAATTTTGGTATAACAATTTTATCTGACCCCCCTTAATTGAACTTTTTGTTGTGAATATATTATGTTTTATGCGTTACATTGTAAAGAAATGTCTTCCTAGCAAGGGATGATATGTTTGGTCTTTCAAAAACACGCCAAAAAAGTGTGTTAGTGTCTCAAAAGTTTCGAAATTGTAACTTAGAAGTGTATAGACATAGTTTTTTTTTTTTTTAATTTTTACTTTATTTGTGTGAGATCTACAATTTTAATTTGAACACCATTAGTTGCGTGGGCGGACGATGCAAAAGGATGAAGGAGAGCGAATTGTCATTGGTGATATTTCTTTCTGTACGGCACTCCGCTTGGAAACTTTGCCAGATTTATCTTCCTAACCTGTTAACACTAAGTTTGTTTTCGCTGAAAGGTTACTAAAGAGAAAGCAAATCTACTCTAATGTAAGGACTTCATCAGGTTGAATTCGACACGTCTCTGTCTGGTCCCTTGGCTGTGAGTTCGTTGTCCTTTGGGAACTTTATGTGGATCGTTTTTCAGTCCACTTTGCTTACCAGTTGAAGACGTTGAAGTTTGGGGAATTCTGTCATTTTCTCCACGAAACACGCCTCTGTCCTATTTCTCTCTAGAAGTCAGCCCACTAGAAGATGTCGCACTTGGAATTCGACTACTTTCATCAGCCAGCGTGGAAGGAAAGTTTTCCTCTTTCAGCAAGAACGCACATGGCCTCCTGTTCGAAAATGATTTTGTATCGAGGTATTTCTGGAGGTTTGCCACACGTATTCTTCCTCAGCGAATTAAAAAAGCATGTCACAGTTCACTTGGCGGCTGTTGACTTTCGATTTCATTGGAAGAATACGTTTTGACAGAACTTTTGTCACCATGCCTGTATCTTACGGTTTTGAACGGCGCCGCTTGCAGAGCATTTTTCCGTGAAAGGTCTGCGATTTTCCAATTCTTCAGTATCTAGTTGGCTCCATCCAAAGTGAACCATGGTATTACTTTCATTTACCGGGACCCACATGGAACGCCCTCAACAAACTTACATTAGTTTCTTCTCGCTCAAATTGACAACGGGAAGCCATACCACTCTACCGAGAAGGATGGGTACTGTAGCCCACACTCTAGCATCAAAGCATTAAAAGACATAATAGCTTTTATTAATTTTCCTTTTTTCCTTTTAACATTGACCATGATTGTTACTGCTTTGTTATAACTCACACTCTTAGTCCCTCCTCGAGTGTCCAAGAAGTCGTTTCTTACAACAGCTCGTGAAATATCACCGGTTATCTCAGCTGCTAGAGTTCTCCCTCCGATAATGGCCAGAGCGGTATCTCGTTTGTAATATTCCATCTGGCTTAGCACTGAGTGTCCGCTTTTAGAGAAGCAGACAGCTAAGCTTCAGGGCGGCCACACTTATGCCGCGTTTCACAGAGACGAATTGCAGAGACGCCTTTGTACACCATTGCTGAAAATTTGTGGGCATTTTGGCAAACTATTCTACATCGGCGTGAATTCTCAAGGTTGGGGATGTGCTTTTTTTTTTTTTTTTTCAGGAATAATAATACAACAACAACAGATTACAATTGTCCCTTGATCAAGCGGAAAGTCCAACTGTAACTCCCCATAGATGTGTTTTACTTCGGTTAAGAATAACCTTAATAATGTTTCAACATGAAGCTCATAATTCGTTATTACACTATCAGGATTGAATTACCCTTAAAATGAATTGCTAGAACATCTAATCTGTACACACCTAAGGCAACAATGGGCTAAAACGATCGTACGAGTGTCCACGATTTCTCGTTTTTTCTTTGACTTTTAGAGACCCATTTAATGACTCGTATTTGAAGTATCTGTCCATCCCTTGGCCAGCCCTGAATGGCACTGATCCAACCGGTACAAACGGATTTTCATTCAGTTTTTAACATGACCCTAGTAGAGAGAACTGAAAGAACTCGATTCAGCTCATGGATGGTACGTGACAAACACGGATACCGACATGTGCGACAAGGTGGCCCTCTACATTAGCATAAGAGTATTAATAGAAAACGTTTGAGTTAACCTCAGTTTTGTAAATAATTTGGGTGCATGAATATTGACGGACCACGGGAATTAAATAAAAAAAGGAGTTATTCTTTTTAAAAGGCCAGACTCCAAGATTTTCTGTGTTTTCGAAATATGTCTTACTCGCTTGAGGCATTAGGCCGTATTCTTTTGCAGTTTTAAGATATAAGTGGGGTTTCTGAAAACGAACTGCTAGCATTGTGTTTCCGGCGGATGAAACGAGATGCCGCACATAGTACAATTAGTATCCTCAAAGTAAAGACGCCTGCGGTTGTTGAAATATGAATTACTATAGTTACTAACACTTGATGCAAACGAAGCCCTCCAAATGGTGAAATGATAATTCTCTAGTATGTCGCAAGTCGCGGGAGTTATCCTCTTCAAAATTTGGTTTTGAAACAGGTTTGGACGGTTGCCGCATTAGAGCACACATGTTCGAAGAAGAGAAATATCATTTATAGCTGAAACGCCTTGACAGGGATACTGACCTAAATGAAAAACTGTAACACCTAAGATGATTTCGATCCTAGTATTCATAGCAGTGAACCATTAGATTACTATTGTTTTGAATGTCACGCTAATTAGGTTTTACACTCCAGTGCTTGCAGCTCCTCTTTGCGAGCACCGCGGTCAGTGCGATTCATGATTATTCAATGTGACTGGTATTTCCTTAAATCTTTTAACTCAGTTTATATCAGGAGAGTGATGGCCAAATTGTCTCGAGTTTGTTTTCAGATATTTTTACCCTCCTCACCGTAAATAACTCTGTTTATCAGTAGTAAAGAAGGCATTTTCGCTCTAATGAGGTTCCCTTTACACGATTTTTCCTTTCAATAAGCGACAGACGGTTCCTTATACAAAATCTTTGCAAGGTTTGCGTTATCTTTGATAAAGTTTTAGAGAGTCTTCGACGTAATTTCCGAGTTTTTCCAAGCCTGAATGTAAAACTACTACCATTGGAAAATTTAATGAAGAATAACGAGGTGAAGTGCTATTTTCAGTCTCCCAAGGAAAGGAATTGAAATGCCCTGAATAAATTAACAGGATTACGGCAGTACTTTTTATAAGGAATTGTAAAATTTTCGATTTAAGAAAAGCATTGTGAAAGAAGATGCATTGATTTACATCTAAGATGGTCAATGCAAAAAAAATCCACACGGAGAGAGAGCGTTTTCAAAGGTTCTCCAACAGTATTTTCCGTTCAAATTCGTTATGTGTAGGCCTCTTTGTTCGAAACTGCTAATTGCCGGATGTAATTAACCTCATCGACTACTGAAGTTGCCGAGTGACGGTGTTGTTGGTATAGTTGTCAAGTCCCTTAGTGCCACTTAGTGGTTTAACCGACTCTTCTTAAATTTTTCCGGCAGCATTGCAGAAGTTTGACTGCATCAACTGGAGTGTCATTGTACGTCAAAATCTGCTACTGGCTCAAATTCCAAATTGGTATTGTAATGTTGTATCATAGAGGGTATTATTCTTTCGCGTGTCATGCGTTCGTGTTTAACCGTTAAGCGTGCCTTTATCGAACACTAAAGAACATTGAAATTGGTGGTCTCCAACAGCTCGAGAAACAAAAACGCCATATCTAATATGGCCTGCAGTCTTCTTTGTATTCGATTTTCCCCTTGAGCTCATTTACGTCCATTTACTCTGGTTTTAAGTTGGTGGGGAAACTGTATTTTCCGTTAAATTTTGCCAGGAAATTAAAGTGGGCTGAAGTCATAATAGAGAAGTAAATAGAACCTGTTGGCTTTGTGTGCAAAGAAGAAATAGCCGTTTCGCTATACGTATTCATTTCAGGTAACGAAATCAAAATGATCCCTTTGTGTTCTCCTTTCCCGTGTGTTCTTTATTCATAAGTGTTCACAGTTAGACACCTCTCGGCTAGTTTGGCCCAAAGAAGTCGTCGTTGTATTTTACACATCTCAACCTTAATTAGTTGAGTAAACATGTAAAGAAACCGAAGAGCGGCTCGTGGCTTTGTTTATATTTTGACTTTCTTGTTTTGGACCACAATGTTCGACTCTTGAAGAAAGACCTCGTGCTAACGACAGATATCAGGTCCAAAACTGAAATGCCGGCTGTTGAATAGAAGATACGTCTTTAGCATGAAAGTTCCACCTGATACACACCATATTGGGGGGATGGAGCATTTGCATGTGTAAATATCAGATGTTTAGCAGGTAGTGACCACATATTGGGCGGATGAATCGGTCGCGAAGCGTGCCGCTCTGACCAAGGAACTTTCCATTACCTGTATTTACAATAGTGAAGGATTCCCCCGCGATAGGAAGCTATTACAGTGTAGGGTGTAGACAATGACTGACAGATGTCGATCCCCGTGATCACTCATTTGTGTAATGGGTCCTTATAGCAAATTTCATTACCGAAAACCAAGCGCTTAGCACCGCGAGAACTGGGACAATACAGCCCTTTTTTCTTCGATCTTCTAAATGAAATGCCTTGTTTACCTCCAGAGATTAACGCAACCAGTCGTAGTAGTTAACAGCAAAAGCGGTGAAGACATGGATTAACATATGTTTTAATTGTTGCGTTTGTCTTGTAACACGTGTGTTGCGGATAACCTTTGTTTCGCTCTTGTTCTCGCATAGTTAGGTCATGTCGTCCTTGTCTTGATAATTGTTTGGAAGTGTAAAGGTCACGTGTGATGCACGATTTTGGGCATTTTCCAAAGCGCGTGGCCGAAAAAATTTTTTTATTGAACCTTATGTATGTTAACTGAAGAACAAAAAATTGAAGTAGAACTGCATGGTATATCACCTCCCCCTAGTGAGCACAATCATTCACTTTCACTTTCTTTCACTTTCTTTCACTTTCTTCTTTACTGAATCACTGTTAAGACCTGTATCTACAAGTTATAACTAGTATTTTGTTTGATTTTGAATTGCAGAAACACTTTCCTCAATTTGTGTGCCCGAAGTTTCTGACTCAATCAGAAATTCAGGAATTTTAAACTTCTGTTGCATTAACCTTTGCGGGTTACCGAGTTGTCGGAGGTTTATAAGAAATTTGTCTTTTGAGGGTGTTTCTCACCTTAAATTTAAGAACAAGTCACGTACAACAAGT